GTGAATGCGTGAATGTTTGATGAATAAAGAGAAGAGTTACATTAACTTGACGCCTTGTGTTCGTACGCTGTTTCTCAGTCTCTCGCGTATGTGTAGATTTCTGCCTCAAACCTATCTCGGACGGTCTCGATTTTCTGACAGAGGCTCTGGGCGTCCGAATTGAACAATAATTTACGAAACGCGAGCGATGATTTGAAGGAGCTGACCAAACGTTAACCACGTCGATACGCTACGTTGCGTCCACGGAATAAATACAGAAGAGGCGCGTGGGTCGTCGCTGAATTTACCGCATGTTTATCTGGATGAGTAAAAGTGATATGAACATCAGACATAGAATCAACAAAAGTACATTTCGAATTCAGTGTTAATGTGACCTAATAAGTAATTCTCGCAAGATTTAATTATAAAAATGGGTCCTTCTGTGAAGTATAAGGTCTGATTGCGTATTTATAGTGAACAAACGGTTTAGGCAAACTTTTTATAACATGCTGCCAAATTGACAAATTGAAAGCAATTAACAAATTCCATTTTCGCGTTTAATTTATCATTTTCACTGCGGGAGTGCGAGCTTACACAAGATTTCCAAGCCATGCACGTTTTCGTGTACTTGTATTTATAATTTCAGGCAGGACAATACATTTCTACATAGGAGGCCACCTTATTTTGATGCAAACATTATATAGTAAACATATGCCCTCTGACACACTTGGAGATTATCGGAGGGAAAACTACTCGAATAGCCGGACTCATTTTGCTATTGTATTTTCTATAATTTATAGGCGTGACCTGCACGATGAAACCAAAAGTACGCGGCATGGTCATTGATAAAATATACAGGGAAGCATACAAATAATTGTGCTGATATATTAATCTGTCCTATTTATATGCTGTTGAGTTTTTTTTTTATTTAGACTGATCATTGCGCATGGACATATATAAAAACGGCTATGTTCAGCAATGGTCGCATTATGCGATGGGTAGAGACCGGGAGATAATAAATTTTGGGTTGATGAAAAGTTGAAATGTAACATTTAACCATTAGCCGATTATTAAACCTTGTCACTGACACCTCATGCATTGTGTGGGTTTACCCGTAGAATATGGTTAAACCTTAGCAAGGGAGTGGTGTCAAGAAGTGCTTAGACATGTTATCTACATTTTATATTTGTATAATTTAAGTGTCTATTATAAATGATGGGTCATACACGCCTCGTAAGAACACTAGTACACTGACGTGGTGGAATTTGTTTTTCTAAAGGGGCAGAAACCATTGAGGATGTACACTTGAGTGTTGAGCTCTCTGAATCCCAAGTCAGGAATGTGAATCTGATATTGGAAAAGTATACTCATAAATTTCACTGACCTACCTGGCAGGTCAAAAATTAGATATCATGACATTGAGTTGACCTCAGCAAACAAATATGATGCATAACATATCCAAACCCCTCGCCATTACAGGAAATTGTCATTAAAGGAGTATTGTAGACCTAGATATTGTAGAACGTTCAGATTCACCCTAAAAAAGTTTGCATTTCCTATTGTTTTTGTCAACAACAAAAATTGGAAAATTCGTGTATGAATTGATCATATAAAATTGAACACGATGACCATATTTGATGCTGAGCTCATGCCCAACCCAAAAGAATTGTTTGTCCAGCTGTCTACTGTAAACTACTTCACTAAACTTAAATTAAACAAGGTGTTTTGGCAAATACCTTTGACCGAAGAGGCCAAAGCTAAGACTGCCTTCTTGACACCCACTGGCCATTACCAGTTTAAATACATGCCGTTTGGTCTTTTCAATAGTCCCAGTAAGTTCAATAGGGCGAGTCAAAGTGTTCCCGAGGGTGTGCATGGGAGGGTGGTACACTTGGTTGACTATATATAATATCTCTATTAAATCTATTGTATTTAGTAATATTTTCACTTAATTCTTTAAAACTAATGTATCCAAAATATTCATCCAAGAGGCCGAAATATGATAAATGGCAACATGCAAAGTCGCCTTTCCCAGGAACACAGGAAAAATCAACTGGGACCACCAAATTAAACACAAAACGACCTATCAATGTCCAAACGTTGGGATACTGGTACGCATAACAAATCTTTGTGATCAGGGTAAGTAATTGGTTCACTATAATAGTGGAGATTACAATAAACATGTAAAGTGTTGGGAAATTCAATGTTCCTGCACATGGGCAAAAGGCAAGGAAATACTACATTGTATTGAAACTCACGCCCCTTCAGCCCGCAAAAAAAATCGACAAATCAATTGACAAACCCAGCCCAACGGAGGTCCAGTTCGGTCACGTCAATAAGAGTATCTGGATCCGCCAGTGATACCAGATACCCAATGTTCAAAAGTCATCAATGGTACGATATATTGTTACTAAATTTACTATATATAATTCAGATGGCCACTGCAGGCATTCAATACAGTTGAAACAGTGGAAACAGCAATTTTACTGTATTTAGGGGTCAAAGGTCAAAGTCATATTGGGTCAAGTCAGCGTGTCGACGTCCGGGAAAAAGTCACAGGTCACTCGAGTTCAAGTTCATCCACACTTCTGGATATAAGTGTATCTTCTAAGACATATACTTCATGGAAAATACTGTATTTTACAACTAACCACAGAATCTACACACTGTCGCAGGCATCATATAAGTTCTGAATAATTCCCATTTGTTGTAAGAATATTCACTTATCACCATAAAATCGTATGTTTTTATGTAATTTTATGTACTAAGTATTTCCCTATACTTTAACTTTTTCTTTGGAGCCTCGTTCTTGTATCCAGTTTTCTCTATTACAACGCATACGAGATCGGCAATGCTCGGACCAGAGCGAGGTTAAACGCAGCATCAGCACAGTTTGGGATCACAAGGCTATTGAAACTTGGAGGCGCGTTACATAAAATGTTAATGAGATGCTTTTCATGCCATGTTTTCAGACACTGCCATATCACGTTTTAATAGGACCACACCATTTCAAGCTACAGGGTGTCGAACCAATTAACCCTACAACCAATCAACAAATCTTCAACCCGCCACTAAAATGTTATTCATAATTGAACAACCAAGAAAGCAACAACTATCAGACTGCATCCTGAAAACAAACAGTCTTTGCAAACATGAATTCTCATTCTAATACACAATTTAGCATTAATGATGAGAATCTGTGCTACGATGAGAATCTGTGCTACTTCCCAATAATCTGCGTTCTTTATACCTGTTTTAAGAGTAATAGTTTTACCATGTAACCGATTCCCCGTAAATATCAATGATAAAGCGGTCCAAATTTGATGATACCATAGACAAAATGTTTCTGTTCTTATGCGATAATAGACGACGTTCCATAGTAGATGTAACGGCACATTTCACCAACAGCAGTATCTAAACGTTTGATGTTATCTGGTGTGAAA